GTCCGTTATATTGCGACCTGTATCACAATTTTAAACCATGATTTTATGAGTTTTTTCTAAACAAATTTTCATTTGTTAATGGTTATGTTAATATTTAGGGTTTGAACTTTAAAGTCAAAATTTCCATGTGTTTACTTTTGTAGGTGATGGTAGTAATGGTGGTCCATCATTCATGATGAAAAGATCCATGTCATTTTCAGGTATAGAGAACAATCACAACCACAATCACAATCACAATTACAACCACAACAACAAGTGTGATGAATTGATGCATGGTGATGAAGATCAATTATCAGATGATGAAGGTTACTCACAACTTGGTGAGAAGAAAAAGAGATTGAGTTTAGAACAAGTGAAAGCACTTGAGAAAAGTTTTGAGATTGGAAACAAACTTGAACCTGAGAGAAAAATGCAACTAGCAAAAGCTTTGGGATTACAACCTAGACAAGTAGCTATATGGTTTCAAAATAGAAGAGCAAGGTGGAAAACAAAGCAACTTGAGAAAGAATATGAAGTTCTTAAGAAGCAATTTGAATCTCTTAAGGCTGATAATGATGTTCTTAAGGCACAAAACCACAAATTACATGCAGAGGTAACCACTAATTATAATTATAATTATTAATTAATTAATTACTAATTGATGCTAATAATAGTACTAATCATGTTTAGTTAGTGTAATTAGATCTTTACATTTTTTCATTACTTTACATCTATAGTTTCTTTTTCTTGATTAGACTATTGAGAGATTGGTTTTGAAAAAAGAAGAATTTTGATTAAGATGGATGTTATTGGTTAATTCAATTAATTTAATATGTCTTAATCTTGATTTAAAATATAATATTTATATAGTTAAAAAATTTCAATGTTCAAGAAAAAGATAGATTCTGACTTGACAACAATATCCAAATGTGTATTATTGAAGATGATTCTAGTATTGAAATTAAAGAAAAGAAAGTTTTCTCATTTTGGTTTATTTATTTATTTTTCTTCAAATTTTCATATCTTTTACTCTTGACATGACTTTGATTTGATGTGTTTTTTTAATGGAGTACATCAAAGAGAAACAAGTTTTCCTAACATTAAAGGTTTTAATTATTTGGTCTTTTAATGCTCTTCCATGTCTCCAATTATGTTTAATTGGCATATATTTTCATATTTGAAATGAAAAAGTTTTTTTTTTAAATTGGATTTTTCTTTTATGCTAAAGTTATTTATTTATTTTTAGTTACCTTTAGGGAAAAAAAATTGTGATTATGAGATAAGATCAATAGTAGAAATTTTACTTTATAATTTCAAAAAATAAAGTTGAATTTTATAAGACTCTGTTCAAAAATATTTTTTTCTGATTTTTTTCATATATTTTTTTAAATTTATTAAATAATTAACGTATCTCTAATATGTATATCAATAAAATACATTAATTATATAATTAGACTATATAATAAATCTTAAAAACAATTTATTTTCAATAATATAGAAATTAGAGGGAATAATTATTAATTGCACCTTTATTAATAAATTATTATTTTATTTTATTTTTTAATGAGCTTTTTTTATTTTTGTATTTTTCTTAAGTTTTGGTACTTCTGGCCTATTAACTTAAAAAATAAAATTACATTAATTTAGTCAAGATTCCACATGGTGTTTAAGACTTTTTAAAGTAATTGATTTTGTCATTAACTTTCTGCTACCTTGATTGTTAGTTGATCATTCATAGGAATAGTCAGTGTGTCAGAATCCAGAACTGCAAATTAATAGTGATATGATATGTTTATTTTTCTTTTTCTATTGAGTACTGTTTTATATAACTATTCCATGTTGCTATGAAAAAGACAATCTAGCTTTTTATCATCTGATTATTACTTAGTTGTCCACATGGGTGCATATGAAGCTCTAATCAGATCAATATCTATATTACATGTGAGATCTATCAAAATCTATATACATACATTATAGATATCATTAAGGTTATTGATTAAAAGTTTTTGAGATTTCGATCGATACAAATGCCACATTATTTCGATTTATACAAATGCATTATTAGTCATGAATTTTTTTTTTGATTTGCACTTTCATGTTCTATTCTCAAAATTCTATGTCCATAATAATAATGTTACAATAGTGTGGATTAAAATTTAAGGCGTAACAAAATGGGATGGATTCGTCGAACACTATATTTTGTTTACTATTTTTGTAGAGCAGAAATATTTTTTGTAGAGCAGAAATTTTTTTCTGTATTTTCTAATATGTTTGCCCCTTCTAATATATCCACCCCAATCCATCCTTTTTTTCGACATTAACAATCTTTTTTAACATTTAGTCTTTAAACGTGCGAGACTTGACCTCATTTTTTTAGGGTAGACCATGTTTTTAAACTCGCACCCTAACTTATGCCTATTCTCTCTCTTTTTGTTTTGCCAACTTTTGTTAGGCAAGTTTAAACGGAGTGTGCATATTTGTCTGTCGTTCCTAATTGTAACGGTGTGATTTTTTCTTAGTAGAAAAACCGTGTGATTAATATTGTCAGCATTCTCCGTGATACCGTTCTTTCGTTACTGTTTTGTCGTAGCGAATCAACCATTTTTTAAAACCTTGCATATCATTAATAATAACCAACCATTTTGTAAAACCTTGCATATCATGATTTAATAATATCTATATGATACATATATAAATGAAGACCTTACTATATATGCTATTTGCAGTTACAAACTCTAAAGAAAAAGGATTGCTTTGAAAATGGAAAAGCTAGTCTCAAGAAAGAAAATGAAGGTTCATGGAGCAATGGAAGTGATAACAGTTCAGATATGAATCTAGATCTTTCTAGAACACCAATGATGAACAGTCCTGTTTCTTCACAAAATGGTAAAAGTCTTATACAATCTTCCCTTAAGCCTACAAGCATGACACAGCTCCTTCAATGCTCCACAAGATCTGACCTTCAAGATGAAAGCTTTTGCAACATGTTTCACAACATTGATGAGCAACAGAGTTTATGGCCATGGCCTGATCAGCAGCAGCACCATTTCCATTAAAAGAAATGTATTTTTATCCAACGTCAAACCGGAAAAAGTTGCATTATAGTGAACATTAGAGTTCAAAGTTCTTTACATTCATGTTGTCAGAATATCGGTGTACGCTTTTAGATGATCTGAATTATAATTTACTATTTTTAATCATAAAATAAAATTTTATATTTTTGTTAAACTATTCGATTTTAATCGAACGATCATTGATGTGTTGATTACCTGAATGTGAGATCCCATTTATGAATATTTTAGGGTTAAAATGAGAAGAAAGTTGATTAGGCTTGACTCAATTTTTTTCTTTTCTTGTTTCAATTATTGTTGGTGTAGATTGGTGTATAAAGTTGAGACAAATCTACATGAAGAGGTGATGAACTTTTTAGTAGTGCAACTTCTTTTCCAATACACTTCATTTTTAATTTTGCAAAATATATTATTAATTTATGTTTGGTTGAAATAAAATATTTAAAAATCATACAATTATTATTTATGTTCCTCTATAGTGGATTTCCAGCTCTGTCACATATACTATGGTCCACATGATAAAAATTGGATTCTCTGTTTTCATTCTTTTAAGTACATTTTTTATATCATGTTGGTGCATTGGAATCATATCATATCATGGAAAATTGCATGGAAAATAAAGTAATTATTTGAAGAAAGTTCATCTAACTTTAGAGGTATGTCATTTTATAGGTTGAAAGAAAGAGCCAAATATAGCTAGCTTAGAGTTTAAAGTGGTGGGGTTTGAAGTAGTAGGATTTGAGCACACAAACCAAGAGGATTTTAAAAAAAAAATCACCAAAATTAAAAAATTAAAAATTAAAAAAAAAAATCAAGTAATAATCACTCAAAACTCACACTACTGCTAATACTAAAACTCGAAACTTGATGATGACATTAAGTTTAACAATATCGACTTTGACCTGTTAAATTATGATTTATGCACGAAAATTCTAAAAAATTTAACATAAAGTATTTGATCTCAAATTAATGAAGGAGGTTGATTATTACTACATATTATTGCATGGAATAGAAATGAGTAATAGTATTGATGCAAAAATTGATGGAAACTTTTGCCAATTTTAATCTGACAAGAGAAACTAATTGAGTCTGTATCCTGAGGAAGATCCATGTGATTCTACTGCCAAAGAAAATGCCTCTCTTTCTCTCTCTTAGCTATGCTTTGCATTCTAAAGTCTGTCTTTACCAAATGATGTAGAATAATATGTTTGCTTAAAATAGTATATTATATTAGTTATTGTTTGAATTAATTATTTGTTGATAATAATTTTTTCTTAAATGCAAATATAAGAAAGTTATAGAATTTTTTACACAATTGCCACAAGCTGAAATTAAAAACACCAAATTGCCACTAGTTGAAAAAAATTTACAGAATTGCCACAACTTCTTTAAGGGTTCGTCCTATGGTTGGACGACCCATTGAAAGGCTTTTTGACGCAGCAAGGGTTCGGCCAATGGATGGCCGACCCTGCTCTATGTCTTTTTTTTTTTTTTTTTTTTTTAATTTCAGAATTAAAATGAATTTTTTTTATTAGTTTTTGTTTTTAATAGAGTTTTTTATATTTAAATGATTTAAATAATATTATATAATAAAAAAAATAATTTAATTATTTTGAAAATAATTTAATTATTTGTAATATAATTTTTACATTATATAATTAATTATTAAATATTAATAATTGTTTTTTACATTATATAATTAAGTATTAAATATTAATAATTGTTTTTTACATAATCTAATTAATTGTTTTTTATATATTAAAATTAGTTAAATGATATTTTATATTACCTAATAAGTAATTTAATTATTTCAAATTATTTTTATATATACAAAATGATAAATAATTATATTAAATAATAAATTATATAATTAATTGTTTAACTAAATAATTAGATAAAATAAAAAAAGATATTTTATTAATATTGATGAGTGGAGAAAATACATCATATTTATCTACGCAAATGACCGCCAGTTCCACACAATGTACTCTTTTTCACACGTTTCCCCCTGCCTAACTCTTGAGTTTGCCGTATTGGAGGTGATGTTGGAGGTGATGGGGTAGAGTCGGAAGTCAACTCTTCATTTTCAGGTTGACGTGATGTATCAAGCATGTCCACATCAGTAACCGAAAAACCTGGCCATTCCATGAGTTGATCATCCGTTAGGGTAAAGTTAGGGGCTGACTGGAATGGTTGGGTGAAAGTGGTTGGAGGGTTTTGTTGGATGGGAGGGTAATAAACATTGTCGGTGCGACCGGATGAACTTGGATGAGACATTGAAGGGTTAAATGTTTGGTGTTGTGGTTGGGGGTAAGAGAAATCAAAATTAGGCTGAGGGATCGGAGTGAAATGAAAAGAAGGTTGAAATGTGGCTTGTTCCTGATATTGTTGTCGATAGTAGTAGTTTGGTTGTGGGGTTGGGGTGTACGGTGTTGGTTGTTGAGAGGAGGTGGCAAAGAATGTAGTATGAGTGCGTTGATATGATGGTTGGGGTTGTGGTTGTGTTGGTTGTTGAGAGGAGGCGGCAAAGAATGTTGGCTGGTTGAATGAAGATGTCTGTGTTTCAAATTGTGAAGGGTTCACCTGAGGCATTTCTTGAGGCATGGGCGAAGAGGATCTTTGTTGTGATGAAGACGTTGCATACTGACGGGGGTCCTCTAGGAACTGACCTTGAGAAGCGTGCATAAATGGAATGGATAAAAACCATTGCATATATTCAGCACTATGAACACAGTTACCGTTAACCATGTTACCTCGTAGGGTCAAATTTGTTCTGTTTCTCCACTCGTTATTTTCTTCTTTATTTATATTGCGCCAATGATCTCCCCATGTATTAGGCATATCAGTCTCATGTTGTTGACGTAGACATCTAGGCTGAGGAGGGATATCTTGTTGAAATCCAAACTGCAATTTTACCCTATCAGCCTGATGCATTTCAACGATATGGAAACTGATAATTGATGTTGTAGCGCTCCAAATCTGGCTATCTTGAAGGACGCATTCGGGGTAGCTTGGGTATGGCCTCCAAATAAACTGTTACATAAAATATAAGTGTTAGAGTTTTAATACAATGGGTGACACATATTTAGAGAATGTTGCATTAACAAACTTACATCGTTAGCCCTTAATCTGTCTAGTGCGAATCTAAATCCTCGGACGTAGTGGCGAGGATTATTTTGATAAGCCATGCCTCTTCGAACAAATCTTGCAGTGTTAAAAAAAAATAATAATTTAGGGATGGAAACAAAAAGAAAATAAATGATAAAGAAAATGTAAACAAAATTTACCTTGTTGCATAAGGATGGTGTGCAGTGGCGGGAGACTCTGGAGCTATTAGTGGTATACGCCAATATGTCCAAACACTTAGTAGTAGAACACACCCACCAATACTTTTGACCCCTACCATACATGCTTTACACATATGTCTATATAATGTAGCCAAACAAGCAGAACCCCAACTATATCTTCTGCATTTATCTAAATCTCCAACTAGGGGTATCCAAGAAGAATGCATATAGTTATATTGGGTATGTCTACATCTTCACAAGTTTTATTGATAATTTTTTGATCATTTTGTTTTACTAATCATTTTGTTTAATTATTTTCAGGATATGCACTAACAGAGGCAACATTTAACTACTACAGGGGCGAATTACGAAGAACAGATAGAGCAGCTTTGGAGTGGATTGACAATATTCCCAGAGCGAAGTGGTCGAGGGCGTTTGACGGAGGACAGCGGTGGGGACACATGACCACAAATTTAGCCGAATCTATGAACTCGGTACTTAAGGCTACCCGAAACCTTCCTATTACAGCATTGGTCAAGTCAACGTACTATCGTCTAGGATCGCTGTTTGGAAAACGAGGACACGATTGGACAAAACTGTTGGCATCCGGTCAAACTTTCACGAAAAACTGTATCAAGGGAATGGCCGACGAGGCTATTAAATCTAGCAGTCATAACGTCATTCAATTTGATCGCGAGAGATTCTGTTTTATGGTTGCCGAATGCATTAACCAACGCGATGGCCGACCATTAGGTACTTTTAGCGTTGATCTCAGGAGAGGGTGGTGCGATTGTGGGAGGTTTCAGGCATTTCATTTACCTTGCTCTCATGTAATCGCAGCATGTGCCAGTATACGACAGGACCATACCATGCACATACCAGATGTTTTCAAAGTTCTAAGTGTATTCAAAGTATACAGCCAAAGCTTCCTTGGACTACCACACCAGCAAAATTGGCCAACATATGAAGGATTCACTCTTTGCCATGACGAGACAATGCGACGAAATAAGAAAGGGCGTCCAAATAGTACAAGAATTACAACTGAAATGGACGATTTTGAGAAAGAAAAGAGAAGATGTGGGATTTGTCGAGAAATCGGTCATATGCGGAGAAAATGTCCAAACGTGGCAGGCCCATCAAATCGGCCCGTCTAAAAATGTATTTTATCCACTCTTAAATATTAATAATATTTTCTTTTTTTATGATTCAATTTATTATTTTATATACTCATTAGGTAATATAAAATATCATTTAACTAATTTTAATACATAATAAATAATTAATTAGATAATGTAAAAAACAATTATTTATATTTAATAATTAATTATATAACATGAAATTAATATTATTTATATTAAATTATTTTTAAAATAACTAAATTATTTTTTTATTATTATATAATATTATTTAAATAATTTTAATATATCAAAAACAATTAAAAACACAAAATTATTAAAAAAATAATATAATAATTTCTGAAATAAAAAAAAACAAAAAAAAACAAAAAAAAAAAGCAGCTAGAGCAGGGTCGGCCATCCATTGGCCGAACCCATGCTGCGTCAAAAAGCCCTTCAATGGGTCGTCCAACCATAGGACGAACCCTTAAAGAAGTTGTGGCAATTCTGTAAATTTTTTTCAGCTAGTGGCAATTTGGTGTTTTTAATTTCAGCTTGTGGCAATTGTGTAAAAAATTCAAAGTTATACAATACAAATCTTTTAAGAATTACGCTCATAAATTTAAAAGACACAATATTGTATGTATGGTAATTTTAGATAAACAAGCGTTAGTTTTAAAAATGGTTATTTTGTAGAATTGACTCCTAAATTTTAGGATATATTGTGCGTAAATTTTATAAGTGATTTTTAAGTGTTTATAAGTTTGACAAATATACCATAAACTAAGTAAAGATACCGATTGACTTGGATATAAGAAACGTACTAAAATACATATATAGACAATGAAAGCAAAGTAAATACTTAAGAAATGATGTAAATGGTTTTAATTAAATGAATAAAAGATGTTGTACAAGATCATACATTGTCTCACAAATTTGTTTCTCTCTTCGACGTTGTTAATTTAAGTTTTATAGAGTTTTTGTATATGATTTGTCACACCTAATCCCCACGTAGAAACTATCTATATATATTAGTGAAGATATAACTGTTTTCGACAGTTGTGACTTGCATGCTCAACATGTAACCTTCTACGTGGTATTGGGGCTGATGGCTAACTTGTCTTCAACGTCCAAAATCTTTAGATGGTAGTTACTCGATCTTATCCTTTAGTAAGTGGTCATAGTGAAAGTCAATCGTCTTTTTAACATTTTTCAAAATATGCTTAGTCCCACAAATATGAAAACAAAAATGTCGAAGTTGACCAAAATTGGTTGAACCAAATATCACTAGGTAACTCCAAACCTGACCATATCTCTTTTCGACATTAACTTTCTTCATCGAACTAGCTATATCAAAAATATTGGCTAACAATATGACCCTTTAAACTTTTTGTAAATGATCAATTGATTTTGGTGATAAAAAGTCAAAAGTGTCAAACACAAATAATATGAATTTATGTTGATTGCCAAAACACGGTCTCTTATGTTTAACTATTTTGCTTGAAGCAACTTTGATGATTATTTGTCCCATAGTAAAATTCTTAGTCCTCAATCACACAAGTGGAGAAACCGCAACCAAGTGCACACGTGTGTGTTTCCTTTCAACCCACATGTACACCAAAATATATGTTTCCTAAGTATCGATCTTCCTCTCGTGGGTCGACCAAGAAGTTCACATATATCTTTTCTTCACATATACTCTCTTCCGCCTAAATATATAAAAAAGAGATCCCTAGCAAACATATGTCTGCATTTGAAACTTGGAAATTCTCTACATTAAAAGTGTACTCCTTAAATGTATTAACGCACACTGATGACTTCTTTGCAAGTGCACCAATAATATCGCAGTGATAAAAAGAGTATCGAATCCACAGGGACAACTATTTAACAAAGCAATAGTTGCACAATTATAAAAAGTAATAATTGGTGGGGGTTCAAGTTTGCATATGAAAATAAAAGAAGTGTTTTGACAATTTATAAAAAGTGTTCAGGTTTTTCCTAGAATCCCCTATTTCCCCAGTGTTGATGATTCTTATGATATTTTTCTAGGATTCTTGTTGCCATCATCAGAATCTATTATACTTACTAAGCACATAAAACCATAATTGTTTCTTCTAGGTATGACTCTTAGGTGACTAGGTAACCTCTTGGAGGATATGTTGGTGGTTTAAGGAGAGTGTATGTGTCGTAGAGAGTTGTTCCCTGCTACGGTCCAAGAGGACTAAGGCGAATGATTGCTTTGCAATTAGTATAAGCAAACTGACAGGTAATGATATTCATATTTGCTTTTGGTAGGATGTGTGAGAGGACAAGGAAACATTTTGTGTGCCCTTTGAAATATTTTTCCTTATTTATGAGTAGAAAACTTAGGTCTTTTTTTTATGGGGTCTTGGACTGAGGATGTCTAGTTGTGCAGTTTCAAGTGGAGACGAAGATTGTTGATTTGGGAGGAAGTTGTTTTAGGTCAGATGGTTGGATATCTAACAGTCCTGGTTGTCATAACCTAATTTTTAAACCTAATATTCCACCTTATTTTCATCATTTTCATGACATCAAGCATCTCATGTGTGTGTCTTTTATTTATTTCTAATTCCATTGAAATACAAAAATATGTGTCTTGCTTTGCTTTGACTATAAGCTAGGGTTTTGGCACCACGAAGTTCAAGAAGTTGATCAGTCAAGGACTTGTGTGATTCTCAAATTTTTCAAGCTCCCAATTCATTCAACATGATCAAGAGTGTCCCTTCATCCACAATAAAGTGCAAGATTCCATCAATGTCATTTCATCAAGCCTCAAGTCATATAATATACCAAATTAGGGTTTGACCAAAGACAACTTAGAGTTGACTTTCATCTAAGCATGAACTCATCCATCAAGACATGATTCAAAGGCCTCAAGTACATCACTTTGGTCCACTCATATGTTTAGATTAGTTCAAGAGGCTTGATCCCTTGATAATTGAAGAATTATAGTTCAATTGAGAAAAGTCAACTATTGATCAAAGTCAAAGTTTGACTTTTAGGATTTTTGGTCAAACATGACTTCTCAAGTCAAAGATCATGAAAATATGAATTTTGATTGGATTTGATCATGATTAATCAAATAAATCATTCAAAGATCAAGAATTCATGAAATTAGGGTTTTGGAAAATTTTCTAAGTACAAATTCTCATGGTCGAGTGACCTACTTTCCAAGATTGTAACTTCTTCCTCAAGTTATTCAATGGAGACACATGAGACATACTTTGAAAGATGACATTTGATACTAAAATTTGATGAAAATTACAAGTCAAAAGCTATCTTGAAGTGGAAGTTATTGATGTCCAAAGTTAGGGTTTCGAGTTGTGTGAAAATCTAAAACACTTAGAATTTTTTTTCTAAGTTTTCAACATGGTTAAGGGCATGACTTTGAGGATTCCTTGTGAAACATTCAAGCCACCTATTTTGATGCTTGATATCTAAAATTAAATACCACATTCCATACTTCATTTTGGTGAAATAATGGATCCAAAAGCCCTCACCAATTGAAAGTTATGATTGCCCAAAGTTGGGATTTTGTCATGATCAACCTAGTTCCAAATGAACCAGAATTTCACTAAGTCCCTAGTCAGTTTGGTCACACGAGTTTGGGACACCTTTAGACAAATTTCCAATCCTCTTCCCAAGATTCTATCAACATGAAACTTGTATTATCATAGGGAATCTTCAATTTGGTATCAAGTTTCTGCAGATTTGATCTTCATTCATTAAAGAAAGCCTTGATCCAATGTGCCATGTTGGACTGCATGATGGACAATGTTTGAAAAGTGATTTTTGATCTTTGCTTGTCCAAGAAGCTATGAGAGTTGATCTACACGTCAGAAGCAACTTGTACAATCTAAAGACCACTCAAGCAAAGTCAACTTGCAGCCACACTAGAAAGTAAAAGGCTAGTTGTACTTGCACAAGCTTTATGGAAAAGTGATTTTGTCCATTGAACCATATATTTGCTTTATCCCAAATTC